AACATATCTTTCTCTGTCAATATAACAGATATCTGTAGAGTAACATATCTTTCTCTGTCAATATAACAGATATTTATAGAGTAATACATCTTTATCTGTCAATATAACAGATATCTGTAGAGTAACACATCTTTCTCTGTCAATATAACAGATATTTATAGGGTAATACATCTTTATCTGTCAATATAACAGATGTCTGTAGAGTAATACATCTTTCTCTGTCAATATAACAGATATCTATAGAGTAACACATCTTTCTATGTCAATATAACTTACAGTTATCTATAGAGTAATACATCTTTATCTGTCAATATAACAGATATCTGTAGAGTAATACATCTTTCTCTGTCAATATAACAGATATCTGTAGAGTAACACATCTTTCTCTGTCAATATAACTTACAGATATCTTTTATACATAACTTCACACAATGAAAGAGTTAACCTGTTTATTACTTGAGTTAAGACACAGATATGAATGTGCAAGCAAAGAACAAGCACTAAAACCTACTGTAAACATTTGGCGTATCAGGGGCTACTCACTCTATAACCTACTAATAGTAACAAATTATTCTCAAAATATTTTAATGGAAGCTAGACTCTACGAAGTCACAGAGAAGCTTGATAAAGATTTAACGGAAGCTAGACTCTGCGAAGTCACAGAGAAGCTTGATAAAGAGCGCGAGCTAGACTCCAAAGAAAACAAGAGAAGCAGCTAGACTCTGAAAGTACCAGAGAAGCGACTAGACTCCTAAAATCCATGGAGAAGCTATAAAAGACTATGAATTGGAAACGCTAGACTCCGAAGAAGGCAAGAGAAGTCACTTAAGACTCTGGAGGCATCCAGAGAAGCGACTAGACTCATAGCCACCCCAGAGAATATATCTGTTAAATTTACAGATAAAGTGAAGTAATAATCTATTTAAGAGATTGGGGGAACAGATATCTATAGAGTAACACATCTTTCTCCGTCACTATAACTTACAGTTATCTATAGAGTAATACATCTTTCTATGTCAATATAACAGATATCTATAGAGTAACATATCTTTCTCTGTCAATATAACAGATATCTGTAGAGTAATACATCTTTCTCTGTCACTATAACAGATATCTATAGAGTAATACATCTTTCTCTGTTAATATAACAGATATCTGTAGAGTAATACATCTTTCTCTGTCAATATAACTTACAGATATCTATAGAGTAACACATCTTTCTCTGTCAATATACCAGATATCTATAGAGTAACACATCTTTCTCTGTCAATATAACAGATATCTATAGAGTAACACATCTTTCTCTGTCAATATAACAGATATCTATAGAGTAACACATCTTTCTCTGTCAATATAACAGATATCTATAGAGTAACACATCTTTCTCTGTCAATATAACAGATATCTATAGAGTAACACATCTTTCTCTGTCAATATAACAGATATCTATAGAGTAACACATCTTTCTCTGTCACTATAACAGATATCTATAGAGTAACACATCTTTCTCTGTCACTATAACAGATATCTATAGAGTAACACATCTTTCTCTGTCACTATAACAGATATCTATAGAGTAACACATCTTTCTCTGTCACTAAAACAGATATCTATAGAGTAACACATCTTTCTCTGTCACTATAACAGATATCTATAGAGTAACACATCTTTCTCTGTCACTATAACAGATATCTATAGAGTAACACATCTTTCTCTGTCAATATAACAGATATCTGTAGAGTAACACATCTTTCTTTGTCAATATAACAGATATCTATAGAGTAACACATCTTTCTCTGTCAATATTACAGATATCTCAGTAACACATCTTCATCTGTCAATATAACAGATATCTATAGAGTAACACATCTTCATCTGTCAATATAACAGATATCTATCGAGTAATACATCTTCATCTGTATGCTTCTAGCTAAATATCATCACCATATACCTCTATGTTATGCAGAAGAAACAGTTTAAAGTAGAAAGTTGAAGGAGGACAAATGATAATAGACGGACAGGGATACCACGCGACAGCATTAGCTGTATTAGCATTGAGTGACCTATAATCTAACCTCACGCTCCTCTTTTTCAAGTTGCAGCTGTTGCCTGATAGCCTTGGTCTCTGGGTAGAAGTTCAATAATCTGACTGAGTAATTCTTCACCATGCACACACTAGGAAATAGGCCGTCCCACCGCAGGGTCAACTCCTTCTCGTAAATCTACAAATAAACAAATCTAATAATAGGTATCTGTCCACCATGGAATCATAGGCACCATATATATACAGAATATCATGATGACCTTCGAAACATTTTTTAAGTCAAAGGATAGAGATATTGATGTTGAAGGTCACCTAGCAAAAAACTAGAGTGCATGTTATTACAGTCCTATATCGGTACACGAACATGTTGAAAACTTAGTATCCATAACAAACAGAATACAATGTATCTGTATTAATAGCTCTCTTTATTCCTTCATAAATATGTGTACCACAAATTGAATAAAATATGTAAGAATTCAGGCAAATTCCTGTGTGCGCTGCTTTACAAAACAATACAAACAGACAACTGTTCACATTTGAGTCATACAACATATAAAAACATTTATACATCTTACATATAACATATAAAAACATTTATACATCTTACATGCAACATATAAAAACATTTATACATCTTACATGCAACATATAAAAACATTTATACATCTTACATGCAACATATAAAAACATTTATACATCTTACATATAACATATAGAAACATTTATACATCTTACATATAACATATAAAAACATTCATACATCTTACATATAACATATAAAAACATTTATACATCTTACATCTTACATATAAAAACATTTATACATCTGACATACAACATATAAAAACATTTATACATCTTACATACAACATATAAAAACATTTATACATCTTACATCTTACATATAAAAACATTTATACATCTGACATACAACATATAAAAACATTTATACATCTTACATCTTACATATAAAAACATTTATACATTTTACATACAACATATAAAAACATTTATACATCTTACATACAACAAATAAAAACATTTATACATCTTACATATAAAAACATTTATACATCTGACATACAACATATAAAAACATTTATACATCTTACATGCAACATATAAAAACATTTATACATCTTACATACAACAAATAAAAACATTTATACATCTTACATATAACATATAGAAACATTTATACATCTTACATATAACATATAAAAACATTTATACATCTTACATGCAACATATAAAAACATTTATACATCTTACATACAACAAATAAAAACATTTATACATCTTACATACAACATATAAAAACCTTTATACATCTTACATATAACATATAAAAACATTTATACATCTTACATCTTACATATAAAAACATTTATACATTTTACATACAACATATAAAAACATTTATACATCTTACATACAACATATAAAAACATTTATACATCTTACATATAACAAATATATAATACAGTGTCATTATCAACTCGAATGTAGGACTCCAAAAGGTTAACTTCAAATCAAGAAAAAAAGTTTACCCGTTTGCCATTTTTGGTGAAATACACAAGCAGCTTTTGTTGAGAAATAAGTTTGCCATCCTCTGTAAACTGGAGTGACTTCCCCTTGGTAGCCTCTACCCCACAGCCAATCACAGTTGAGGGCCCATAGGCATACTCATCTTTCTTTGACTCCTCAGATTCACCTTCAAATTGAATTCTGCAATGAAAATATATAAATTTTAATTACCATAACAACATGTATCTAATGAGCATACAATAACAATTAACAAAGACCGCACACCGAACGCAAAAGGACAAAGCCACGATGGCGTACTACTCGCTATCACAAACAAATACATCTCTCAACAACTTCCAGAATTAGAAACAGATAATGAATACATTTGGGCCAACATCAAAATGTCAAACTCACATAACTTCATAGTAGGTGCATACTACATGTACAGACCACCATCAGATAAAGGACATTCACTCACAGAACTCGAAATATCCCGGAACAGAATAGGAACACAGAACAACACAATAACATTTATTAACGGAGACTTCAACCTCCCACACATAGATTGGTCAAACAACACCACTACACCAGGCAAACCAGACACAACATCAACGCCTCCTAGAAATCATCGACGACAACTCCCTCAACCAAACCATAGACAAACCCACAAGAGGAGAACACATCCTTGACCTACTACTCACAAATCGTACATCCATCATCAATAAACAAGAAATAGTCCCACCAATAGGCAAGGCATATCACGACATCATATATACAGAAGCAGACATCAGACTACAAAAAACAGGCAAACCACCTAGGAACATTAACCTATATAACAAAGCAAACTGGGACAACATCAGAAAAGACCTCACTAATCTAAATAACAACTTTCAGGACCTAGAACATCAAAACACAGAAGACCTTTGGGTAAGTTTCAAAACAATACTCCACACATCTACAGAAGAAAACATTCCAATAAAATCACTAACATACAAACACCAGACTACCCTGGATGAACAACTCACTTCGCCGCCTCACAAACAAGTCTAAACGCCTCCACCACAAATCAAGGACAAATCACAAACTTATCCACACATACAAAACAGTAAAAGCTGAAGTGCAAAAACAAACACGCAATGCATACCTACAATACATTGAGAAGATGATTACAGACCTACCAATAGGCGAACCTGAAGACCCCAACACAAGGAACAAATACAACCCGAAAAAACTCTTATCTTTCATTAAAACCACAAAAAAAGAAAACACAGACATCATAGCACTACGTAAAAACGGCCACCTCACATCAGCCCCAGAAACAAAGGCAAACATACTAAATGAACAGTGCCAAGACGCCTTCACACCAGAACAAAACACAACAATACCTGACAAAGGAATATCACCTCATCCACCCATGCCAGATATACACATAACATGCCAAGCAGTCGACAAACTACTAAATAACATTAACCCACACAAAGCAACAGGCCCAGACCATATACACGGCAGAATACTAAAAGAACTCAAGGATATCACAGCACCTATACTAACAAAAATATTCCAAACATCACTCAATACAGGAACATTACCCAAGGACTGGAAATACGCCAACGTAAACCCCATATACAAAAAAGGAGACAAATACAACCCAACAAACTACAGACCAATATCACTCACATACATCGCATGCAAACTCCTAGAACACATCATCACAAGTACAACCATGAAACACTTAGAAGACAACAAAATACTGCATGACCTACAACATGGCTTCTGCACATCAATATCTTACGAAACACAACTCATTACATTCATACAAAACCTCGCACAGAACCACAACAATAACAAACAAACAGACATTATCATAATGGACTTTGCCAATGCCTTCGACAAAGTCCCACACAGACACCTACAGTACAAGCTAAATCATAACGGCATCACAGGAACCACACTAACATGGATAACAGACTTCATATCACAACGCACCCTTCCGACAAAATCCTAGTAACATCTGGAGTGCCCCAAGGAACCTGTTTGGGACCAGTCTTCTTCCTCATATACATCAATGACTTCCCCGAATACATATCACACAGTACACTAAGACTTTTCGCAGATGACAGCATACTATACAAAATCAATCAACAACAAAGACGTCACGTCAAAACTACAAGCAGATTTAGACGCAGCTAGTAAATGGGAAGAGGACTGGCTCATGCACTTCCTAATATCAGATGGTAAGCTATTCCACAACATAGCCGAAACCCTCCCAAAGCGTCTGTTTCCGTAGGTCACAGTACAAGATTTTGGGACACACAACAAAGATTCTGACTCCGACTGCAGTGATCTTGACGGCTGATACAGGGTAATAAGCTCCTGTAGGTACTGAGGAGCTGTTCCATTCAGTGCCTTGTATGTGTACACCAGAATTTTGTACTGCGACCTGTATCGTACAGGTAACCAGTGCACCGAATAAAGCACAGGTGTGATGTGCTCTCTCTTTCGAGTACGAGTAACTAGCCATGGTGCAGTGTTCTAGACCCTCTGCAGACAACTAGTTAGTTTGTCAGATATACCACAGATCAGGGCGTTACCATAATCCAACCTAGAGGGAACAAGTGAATGCACCAAAATCTTGCATGCATCTGCAGTTAAAAACTGCCGAATACAGCCGATGTTCCTGATCTGGTAGGAACAGGATTTGGCAATAGCGTTCACTTGTTTCTCCATGTTCAGTGAACTATCAAAGTATACCCCTCCATAAGAGTATTCCAGACGTTTATAAAGTATGCCATGGTCGATGACGTCAAATGCAGCTGACAAGTCCAGCATGACAAGCACCACTTTGCACTTGTTATCCAATGCAGAAGCTATATCATTATGTACACGTAGGAGGGCCGTCTCAGTAGAGTGTCCCATGTGGTAGGCCAATTGCATGTTGTCATGGAGACTGTTTGCATGGAGAACCTCTAAACGCCAGGACACAACCTTTTCCAAGATCTTAGACAGAAAAGGCAGATTTGAAACTGGGCGGTAGTATTTCAACTCCTCCTTGTCCGTTCCAGGCTTCTTAAACAATGGTCTGACATGTGCCTTCTTGAAACATAATGGAACCTTTGACTCAGCCAATGATTTGTTCATGATTGAGGTAATCAAAGGAAGCAGTGTTTCAAAACATTGCTTTAATAGGTCTGTAGGCAGTGGGTCAAGCTCACAGGACTTCGATTAAGAGGTCATGATAATGTTGCGAAACTCGTCCTGGGTTGTTGGTGAGAGCTTTGCCAATGGTTCCCCATCAAATGCAATGTCAGCAGTCATGACAGAGATGTCAATGTCAGCAGAGGTGTTCACTTCGGCAATATTTTTCCTGATTGAGCTGATTTTATTCAGTCTATCTTAGGGAACTACACATTATCTTAAATTTTCTTTTTTCATGTTAAACAACAACTAATACCCTTAAGATGTGGTATCTAAATACAACTTACACCCCAGTGTTGTGGTATGTAATTACAACTTACACCCCAGTGTTGTGGTATGTTATTACAACTTACACCCCAGTGTTGTGGTATGTAATAACAACTTATACCCCAGTGTTGTGGTATGTAATAATAACTTACACCCCAGTGTTGTGGTATGTAATAAGAAATTACACCCCAGTGTTGTATGTAATTACAACTTACATGCCAGTGTTGTGGTATGTAATTACAACTTACACCCCAGTGTTGTGGTATGTAATTACAACTTACAC